TTACCCTTAAAATGAAAGAAAATAAAAATAATAACCGAATAAAAATAAAAATAATGAAGTTGTATAAAGAAAATTGAATTAGTGACATCGACAATACCCTTTAAGAAAAAGAAAAGGAAATAAAACTAAATAAAAATTTAAATAAGAAAGTTATATAAGAAACAATGAATTAGTACCATTGGCATTTCACTTTAGAATAAATATAATGAAAAAAATTAAAAAAATTATGCACAACTTGACACTAAAATTGTACTTTTGTAGTATGCAAACAACAATCATGTAATAGTGCAATTTTCGCACATATCACATATTATATTGTGTGTACATTTACTTACACTTACCCAACATCCCAAAAATATGTACAAAAGAAGAAAAAATATGAAGAAAAACAAATAACAAAAGAAGAACACATAAAAACAGAAAGAAAAAAAGAAAGGGAAAGAGGTGAGCTGGGTGGTACACCTAATGGGCTTCAACCCAGTGGAATACCAACTGAGCTGAATATGTGGTCAGTCCAAACAGCTCACAAAACAATTCAGAAATAAAAATCAGCATGAATCTCAGAACAAGAATCAATGGCCAAGAAATTGACTGACCCATGTTTAAAATTCAGGCGACTTCCATATAGCTAAAGTGTTTAATATTACGTACTCCCTTCATTCCTAAATATTTGTCTTTCTAAAGATTTAAACAAGTGACTACATACGGAGTAAAATGAGTGAATCTACACTCTAAAATATGTAGTCCACTTGAAATCTTTAAAAAAACAAATATTTAAAAACAGAGAGAGTACTAGCTTATGCTGTATTTTGGCCTTTTGCAAACACCACGATGGTTGGGGGCATTGATGATCTTTCAGGACTTGAACAGAGACATATGCAACAAATGAGGTACTCGACGTATCGTTGTATAGCCGTGTCTCAGTCCATGTATCATATCGTATGGGTGCGTCACAGGGTGTTAGTGAAGTATAGGATTAGCAAAGAGTCTAGGAGATGAAAGGTGTATGCATGTAATCTATTCAGCTTCTAAAAGCGTCTATTCAGCTATGCAACATTAAGTGCGCGAGTTTAAACATCGTTCAAATTACGCCACTATTCACAGTAAAATCTGTTATTTTTAGTCCTCTCCGAATAAATTGTTGATGGGTGGTCACCACACTTTACCGAAGACCACCTCTGTGCCCTTCCAAGCTATGCTGCGGTCTGCAGTTTACACGACACACATCCCATGTTATCACCGGTGCGCTCTGCCCGGCTTCAAGGACCTCATCAGCACATTATCACTTTACAGTGATCATGAAGCCCTTTGTGTCGCCATCTCTTTGCCAGCAGCAGTGGTTGATCCGTCACCTCAAGCTTGTGCATTCATGGGACTCACTCAACTTGGGATTCTCTTCATACGGTTCCTGATTAACCAATCGAGGGCTACCGGTTCAGTTCCCACGTCCACTGGTTAGCTCATGGTCTTGCTTGTCTCCATGTGGGTTAGCTAGCCTCTCGAGGGCTTGCTTGAACCTGCATCGCACATGCTACATGGGCCCCGTGGGCCGACACATTGTTTGGTGCAAAGCTCATCCACCAGCACATGCGTGGCGGGCCTGCGGGTGGTCACCGCGGTTTCCTCTGTTCATCGTCAAGCGAATCCTGCACCTCTCGCCACACTGATTACATGCCATGTCGCTCTCATCAGCAGCGTACATTGCTATCTTTTCTTTTTATTCGCTTGCACTAAAATGCTGCCCTCATTGTTCCGAAAATCCGTAGCTGATCACGAGCTCATCCGCTCCTGAATGAACATTAAATCCAAATAAAATAGTAAAGATATTTTTTAATCTGAATTTTGCACATTATATACGAACAAGTTTTATATGTGCGTGCAAAATTGATAATGTGACATTGGGGGAGCTCCCGGCAGAAAAAAAGAAGAAAATTTTGAACCTCCCTCAAAATTCCAAGTCTTGTTTTTTTTTTCTGTCCACAGCTCCTCTGATGTCATATCACCATAAAATTGCAGAAGCCAAGAAAAGTTGCGCGTTTTTGGTGCCAAAAAAATTCAAATATTTTTTTAAAATTATTTTTACTAATTTTTATTTTACTGATGGTCCCTGTACGCCGAAACGCTGCCCTCGGATTGTTCTTGCATGTTAAAACGTACATCGCCGCTGTGGAAGATGTACTTTCGGAAGCCTCCTGTGAAATGGGATATATACAAATCATGTCGTCCCCTTGACCATGAGAGCCGCATCTGTGCTTCACTATGCAGCATCATGCATCGATGTATGTATCTGTTCATGTCAATCTGAATCCAGTCTTTTTCAGCTTCTTCTTTGTTCCTTTTCCTTTGTCTTTTCAGGGGTTGTAGGCGGATAGCTCCATGCTAGTGAGTGATCATCTGTTTGCTTCTGTGTGGAGAATTCCTAGTTTTGGATCATATGAGTTGTCATGGTTCCCTTGAATATATATTCCTTATTGTTCATGATCACTGATTCTGGACTTACATGGAAGGGCTGACACGGAGAATCTAACTGTATCGTCGTATACCTTGGCGATGAACAGTTCCATTTCCATTTTTTTTGCAGGGTAAGAAATTAACACAGCGTTTCAAGAATCGGTTGATGGTGATTATACTGAAACTGCTGTTATGTTTTCCATTCCAACATGAATGAAATATTAACCTCCTTTTCGAAGAAAAAAACATGTATTAAAGGATGGCGCTATATCGGTGAAAATTTTCAGTTTGGTGACAACTTGAAACTTCCTGTTCAGGTACCGAATAACCATGCAATTCTTCCATACACATATGAGAATGCAGTTCTTGATTCATCAAACACATCTTCATTGGCAAAAGAAGTACATCAAACCCAAATTATATTTTAAGCTCAAATTCAATTTGTCTTTTCTCCTTCTGTTTTCGACATTTAATTTGCTGCACGATCACAAAAGTTTGCGAAGTGTGTTAAAGTAAGGTTTTGTACTCTTATAGTCAGCATAACTGTGTGCAGTCATTTAACAAAAGGAAAGAAGGCCATCCTAGACCCTTAACTATGATGCTCTGTTTGACTCTGAACCATGGAATCGGTCGTGTACCAATTTGAAGTTTTGAACACCACTTAATTAAAAAAATAACCGGGTTTTGGATGGTTTTGACTAAGGAGTGTAGACTGTCTTGTTCTATAATACGTACTCCCTCCGTTCCGAATTACTTGTCTTGGATTTCTTTAGATACGGATTTATCTAGACTCATTTTAGTGCTAGATACATCCGTATCTAGACAAATCCAAGACAAGTA